ATTCGCACACTCCTAAAGCTGTTGCCTATCCGGAGCCCATCGGCTCCACGTTACGATCCTAAGCCCTGGATATGTAGCCGGGTGCGGCACAATTTGCCGACTGACGAGACGGGTATGTTAGCGATCTAGGTTGAGATCACGGTGTGGTCTACAAAATGGGGTATAGTTCTGGCCCCTAATTCAGATTGCAGCCTCAGTGCAGTATTGTACCTTGGCATTGGGATATGCGAGACTGTTCCTTAGAGGCTTTACTCACGGGCTAAACACCGCTCATGGTGCTTCGACAGAGGCAATCCAGTGGTCTGTGAGTCACCAAAGTCACCGTTGACAGCCACTCTGAGTCGTTACAGCCTGACGTACGCTCGTCCCACAAAGTTTCGGCCCCGGCCCACAACACGGGGGCCGGCGTGGCCGGCGTGGCCCGCGGGTCCCGGCCTCCGACAGCTGCTACCCTCAACTCGGGGTTTTTGTGCGCGAATTGCAATAGGGCATTTGTGTTGGCTGTTGGTGAGTGTTTTCTGATCGAGTGGCGGCCTCTGACAACGACGCATCTTTTAAAAATAGGTTTTAGTAAATCAATGGCCCAGCATGAAACCTTCCTTAGGCGTTATTCATTATAGGGTCTAATAAGTAAGCTGGAACTAAGGAAGGGCTAGATTAAATAAGAAGACAACGATGACCTAGCGCGTTTATTCCAGGAGAACCTGAGCGATGAGGTCGACGGACTTAGGGACGACACTGCTAGGTTGATTAAGTCGGCAATAGTACTGGGGCTACACGATCCGAGGGGCTGGACGAATTGCTAGATAGAATGGAGACTAAACGTGAGTAAAGCGTCAACTTCCTTTATAGACTATACAATACTGGCCGAAATACGGGCAGCTTAATATCGTCTACATTCTCTCGCTTAGAGAGGGGTTAGCTAGTATTAGGGTCCTTATAGTTCCTGGTCGATTTCTCCGTATACGTCTCATTACTTTGATAGACGCGGGACATCGTATTAGATAACCCGAACGTCTAGTTAGTAATATAGTGACACGAGTCGGCCGGTAGCCCTTAACGATGGAAGTGTCCCGCATGATGGTCTCCTAGTCGAGGACGAGCTCGAATATACTGGAATAGCTGCAGAGCTCGCCTCGGAGGACTTGGAAACTGATTAGCCTGGCAAGGTTATTAGCTATAATGTAGCAACTATAAGGAAGCCCTGCCCGACATTGCTGAGGTCAGGCAGCGGCCCATCTTGGAACTCGTAGGCGCGCAAGTCGCCGTTAGTGAGGCTAAAGATGTATCCGCGAACCGATGACCAATCTAGGTTCCTGGTGTCTATAGTCTTGGCTCATCGCATGTTTGGGTCTCGAAAGTTGTTTCCGATCATAACGGTGCCTTCCGGGATCTGGAAGTGGCCAGACGATGCTCAGGCATTTCGTCACCCACGGCTTTGGACATGCGTCAATTCGCTTGAACAGCTGCATCGGGTCATGCGTGGCTCAATGCAGTTAAGACTATGGGAAACATTGTGTCGATAATGGAGCACCAGTTCGATACCAAGACTGTCGCAGAGTCCGCGGCCGTCCGACTATAGCCCTTCGGGGTCACAGTGGCTCCAAGATGGGTTACCTCCAGAAGCTACTCTGGACTCTTCGGCTCAAGTTCGATCTGACATCAAAACGGAGCTGGGTGAGATTGGCAGGGATAATCTCGTTTGATTGATGGGTGACGTGGCCGAATGGGTGTCCTTCATTCGAGGACAAGTCGAGAGACCACGGACCGAGTCTTGGATAGTTACAAACCTCGGCGTCATTGACAGTCAGGGACAGGTTGGAGATGAAAACACAAATCAAGAGGCAGCGTGGTGTCTGGGGAGACCAGCCGAGGAGACGGCAAAACACGAAGCGGATTTGTGAAGGCTTGGGATCGAGAATCTAGGGGCTAGGCGGGAAGGGAAGGTCGCCTCTGGTGCCATCAAAGAGAAAGAAGGTGCCATGACCGATCTGGGTTGTTTTTATGTAATCTTCGATCATTGGCTGTAAGCCCAGCAGTTGACAAGTCTTTGCTCTCCATTGATTGGCCACAACCGTCCTACGTCCGTCACGGAATGCAGGAATGCTCCAATTCCCCAAAGGCCCCAGAGAGCAGGTGCAGGTGACGTGCTCATTGTGGGGAGCCTCAAGCCGTAGCTGTGTCGGTGTTGCCTTTGGAGTCATCTACCGCCGGTCATCAACCTTTCCCTGACCTCTGCTTCCCAACTTACCACAACCACAACCCCATCTTCACGACAATCACCAGTGTTCCCTGGGCTTCTCTCTCCGGCAGGAAGCTCAGCCCCCTTTCGAGCTTCATCCATATCTGCTTTCCTCGGAGAATGGATTGAAGAGGCACGGGAAACAACTTCGCCCTTCGCAATCTACCAGGCATCAGCATCCTCACCATGCCACACCCTCCGAGCCCTCCCTCCTTCGACGACCAAGATGACACCTCATCCACCATCGCGCGAACGACATCCTCACAGTCGTCCTTCCTCTCCGATACAAGCAGCAAACGTCGTCAAGCATACTACTCCAGAAGAGCCGCGTCGATCATCCGTGCCGTGTCCTTCTTCTCCTCTGTAGTCACTGCGCTCTGCGCTGGCTCCATCACCGTCTTCTCCCTCTACGGCCATATCTTCCAAGAGCGTCTGCACTACACGCAGCTGCAGGTCAACGGCCTTGCCATCTCGTCTTCCATCGCCCTATACCTGCCAGTTTCGGCTCTCGGCTACATCTGCGACCGTGCCGGCGCTCGACCGTTGTCATTCCTCGCGGCGCTCTTGTTCGGCTCCGGCTACGCTATCGCCGCCATCACCTATCGCAAGCTTGACTACGAGACGGCTGCCGGCCTTCGAGGGCGAGATGGAAGGCTTGTACGGATTGGAGGCAGCAAAGATGGGCAAGATGACACCGTTGCCGACTGGACATACCCCCTTATGATGTTTGCCTTTGTTTGTGTCGGCGTCGGTACGTGCTCCATGTACCTCGCTGCCGTTGCCACGAACGCCAAGAACTTTGGCAAGGGCCGTCACCGAGGCCTCGCTCTCGCCGTGCCCATCGCTGCCTTTGGTCTCAGCGGCATGTGGCTCAGCCAGGCTGGCAGTCGCGTCTTTTACGAACGTCTGTCCGACGGCACGAAGGGCGACCTCGACGTCTTCCGCTTCTTCGTCTTCCTGGCAATCCTCCTCATCACTGTTGGTGTTGCTGGCGGCTTCACCCTGCGTGTCGTCGATGAGGACGACCTCTTCGAGGAGGCTGTCGAGGAGCTCGAGCGCAGTGGTCTCCTCGACCGCAGCTCTCTTCTTGATGGCCGAGGGCGTGGCTATGGCGCCGTTGAGCGTTCCCGTGACGAGGAAGCCGCTGGTGATGCTGGTATTCTGGACTCCTCCACCCATCTGGATGACGCCAAGCTGAAGAAGGAATGGGTGCTCAATGCGGAGACGCGCAACTTTCTCACCGATCGCACCATGTGGCTTTTCGCCATTGGCTTCCTTCTCATGATCGGTCCGGGTGAGGCCTTCATCAATAACCTCGGTACCATCATCGGCACACTCTATCCGCCCACTGCCGCTGGCGAGCACCCGGGAAAGGCCACTTCACCGTCGACTCACGTGTCGATTGTTGCCATCACGAGCACGATCGCTCGCCTAGCAACCGGCACTCTTACTGACCTGCTCGCCCCGTCGCCCGCGACGCAGCACCTTCAGTTTGAAGCCTCTCCGAGACCCACGTTCCTTCGCGGGTTTTCCCTTTCACGTGTCGTCTTCCTGCTCTTCTTTGGTCTTACGCTCTCCGCCGGCCTCGTTGCCCTGGCTTCAGGCTTCATCCAAAACCACGGCGAACGCTTCTGGATCGTATCGGGCCTCGTTGGAGCCGGCTACGGCGCTGTCTTCAGCCTGACACCCATCATCATCTCCACCATCTGGGGCATTGAAAACTTTGCCACGAACTGGGGCATCGTCGCCATGTTTCCGGCGTTGGGCTCCATGTTCTGGGGCCTCGTCTACTCGGCCAATTACCAGAGTGGTGCCGAGGCGGCCGCCCGGCGTGGCGAAGGCGATGTCTTTTGCTATGGCAAGGAGTGCTATGCGCCAACGTTCTGGGCCATGAGCGGCACCGTGTGGCTTGCATGTGGCCTGGTTTGGTATGCCTGGAAGGGCAAGGGTGGCTGGTCGCAGCGCGGCATCGTCGTTTGAGTCGCGAGACGCGACACTCGAGATTGTGCATTTCTATTATGGCATACCGCATACTTGGCGTTTGGAATTGGCTTAAGGGTTTTTGGTGGGTATTTCATGGGCTTCTGGGTACACATAGCGTGTTGCACGCAAATATGCAAGCAAGCAATCTACTTTCATTTCATCATCTTCAGGTCATGTTTGTGCGCTGCCGACTGACTACTGAATTGTTCTAAGTGAAGACGACTGCTTCTAGACTCGTAGGAGCGCATTTGACCGTACACGACGATGAACATGGACGTACTATCTGTTGCTGAAGCCGCGGGCAGCACATGCGACGTGCAGCTATCGCACGAGACTAATCTAGCGGCATTGAGTCCTCGACGAAATCCATGCTGGGCTCCGTATCACGCCGGGCAGCGTCTCGTTCCCAGGGACCAAGCGTCCCCGGAATGACAGATTCTCTACTCCAGAACGCGAGACGAATATGTGCGCGCGCACACGTCAAGACCGCGTCGTCAGTCCGCACGACCTACCAAACCAGGCAAAGCCAGGCAGTGCCTACTACCCCACTCCCCCTCGACCATGCGAAATACCGGCTGCGCCAATCCCGTCCCGCCCGCCTGGCTACCCGGCGCCAACGCCCTGCCTGAATCCCTACAACCCCTGTAATTCCAGGGTTGGTGCCCGGATTCGGCAACCCGCCACGTAGCTGTCGCAAGGTGCGAGTCGAGGGGCCGTCCTGGCCACATCAAAGTCAGACCGTCATCCATCAAGTCACATCGGTATCTGGGTGTGTCAAAATTGTTTCTCGATCCTGACTACTACGTCCTGCAGCAGTGCGAACATCCAGCAATCCATCTTCCACGATGTAGTATGCATCTCTACCCTCCTCCAGTCAGCGAGTCCAATTCTGATGCTTCTCTCCCAGAAACCTGAAGCTCCATGCGAGCCTCTCGCTTCAACGGCAAATGCAAACATGAACCCAAACGCCTCTTCCCATGTCTATTGACACATGGTGATGTGGACAACCCAAAAAAATACTGGCCAGACCCGTGGCCCTCACGCTTACAAAGCAAATTATATGTGTAGCTGGTCGAGACGACACAGTCGTCCCAAACAAATGCTCGTCTGGCAGACGCCATGCCTGGTGCTTCTTGTGTCGCAGTTTTGGGCGACGACGGGTATCGTGATGTTTGTGACGGCTGGTGTAGTCCATGGCCACTTCTTCGCGACACAGAAGCGTCATGATGTATCGGTGAAGAGATAAAATGCTTCTTTGTGTGCTTTCGTTGTGTGCCAGCGGCGCTCATCTCTGGGTGACGTTGCCAAAAGCCGATACCCATCTTCATCGCCGCTTGATGCTGCCGCACCCCGATGCGTGCCATTTACGCGCACGCTGACGTTCATGTCTATATTTCCCATGACAAAATATGGTTCTCGACGGGATTAGGCGGGGATCCAGACGAGCTCAATGACACCATCGTGGGTGCGAAGTGGCTTGTCATTCTCGACCCATCGGATGTCATCAGCCCCGGCGGATGTAGGTTTGAAGCACCGGAGCCGTCAGGATTGTTGTATGACTCGCGAAGCTCCCAGGCAATCTTCTTGCCGGTCCTCAGCATGGACGGCCGTTGGGGGCCGTACATCCAGTCCAAGTTCCAGCCTCTGTCTTCCGGCGCGGCGTGGAAAGTGCCCTCGAATTGGTCGAGGTCAAAGTCAATGCCTTGTGGGTAATGGGCCACACTGAAACCGTTGGAAATGACAAAATTGTCAGCTGTAACGAATCGCTGGTACGAACAATCTTCGCCGCAGGCGTGGGCTATCTTGGTAGACTGGAAGGGATAGGCAAAGTGCCATCCTCCACCCTTGAAGTGGTGAACGGAGTAAGGCTTGATGCCGCCCTCGTAGAAGCCGGCGGGATCTCCGAAAAGATCAAGCTGCCACAAATCCCACAACTGGGTGAGCCTGACGTTGGTGTTCTCGTAGATACATTTGCGCAGGAGAATATCACCCTGAGGCCCCCAGCCCGAGTCGGCTTCTCGGATCTTGGTGTTGGACCGACATGTCGCAAATATGTCCGTGATCTTCTCGGCCATAGACACGCTGAGGAAGACGCCAGCACCGCCAAACGCCTGGGATCCGTGGCGCTCAATAGCGCCAACGTCTTCTGACAAGGTTCCAATATAGAGTAGCTTCTTATGATCGTACCTTTCGAACCGGGCCTTGAGCGCGTGCATATTGGGAAAGTATGTGTCGTCATCGCACATGACAAGCCACTTCTTGTTGGGCCGTTCTCGATGGTTGTAGAGCATCGGGACGAGACCCAGGTAACGCACCGCCATCTCAAGCCTCGAGTCGGGTGTGGCTCACATCGGCGTCAATACCGGCGCGCGCCAGGCGTCTCGCAACGTCGTCAAGCTCCGCAACAGTGGCGTCAATGAGTTGGAGAAGCAGCTTGCCTACATTCGGCCTACCGTTGCTGTTGGTGAGCCAAAAGGCCCATTCCTTGATAGGATTGCTGGCAGGATTATTGATGCGCGAGAAAGTCGTAGAAACGGCAAACATGAACTCGGAGAGGTTGACGTCGGCAGGATAGGGCGACTGCGTGACCGGTACTTCGAGGGGCTCGGCGCACTCTTGAAAAACGTATCCGCTGTTGAGGTCGACCGTCTGAAAGCTGCGTGGCAGTAGTTTCTGATCGATGTTGGTGTAAGACAGTCGTTCGATGGGTTTACGATGAAATCGAACGTATCGTTTGAAGTATTCAATTTTACCGGATAAGCCGTAGGTTTCGCCCACTTGGCGGAGGTGCTGCATGTTGATGTCGCAGTTCATCCGATGCTTGTCAAGCGGCGTTCCAAGGTCGGCATCGTTGAGCACGGCATTGGCAGATTCAGGCTCGAGAGGCGTCTGCACGGGGACAGTTGGTGGGGGGGCTGCGGCCACGGCCATGCGATCGGTCGTCATCATCACGCGATTGCGTGCTTGACTATTGTTGCGATTATTCCGAATGGTCACGCATACGAGGAATACAACTACTGCGGCGAGCACGAGCGTCCTTGTAAACTGATTCCGCGTGCTGCAAAGGCGGTTCGCTCGAGTGGCGGGCATCCTGGCTCCCATGGTCGTCACGTCGACGACGCTGACTAGAGCAGCCTTCTTCTCAGCTTGGGCAAGTCGGAAATAATATAGCCTGGAGGCTGGTGAAGGCGCTGAAGGCGCTCTGAGGCGGCAGGATCGGCAAGTGGGTGGAAGGTTGCGTGACGCTGCGCCTTCAAGATGACACAGAGAACATTCGGAGATGACAGATACTGATAGTATCAAGAATGCTGAGGAAAGACCTTCGAAGAGAAGAGAGCTGACAGACAGGCAAGCAAATCGTGAGCAGGCGCCGCTGAGGTGACGAAAGGCGAGGTATGACTTGTTGTTAGGGAGCGCCTTGTGCTCAAGAGACAGGCGAGAGAACGTATGGCGGAGGAGGGGGGGGAGAGGACCACACGGCGAATAGGTACAGAAGGTGGAGGGTGAGAGGGGGGCATTGGAGCGGGATCAAGCATAGATAGATGCTCAGTCTAAGTCTTCAGCGATGTCTCGCTTTGGCAGCAGTGGGAACGCCTGCGAGGAGCCGAAGCCGTCGAGGCAGGCGCTGCCAGGACGGCACGAATGGTTCCTCTGGAAGGTGGATGCAATACACTGTGTGGTTTACTGATGGATCCGGTAATGACCAGCAGGGGTCGCGGTGTCGGGGTGTCGTGACGGGCGGGGCGAGATGCGGCAGGCGCTGGAAGGCAATAATGGGTGGGTGGGTGGTGGGGGAACTCGGCCCAGTCCTGCCCTGTTCGTCCTTGAATTGGTGGGTGTCATGCTGGGTGCGTGGGTAGAGAGGGGACACAGCGACGGAAGGGACAGTGAGAGGTTCGTCCCCTGGATTCCTGCCGCTGCGTTCTAGTAGCAGGTGCATCCCTTCCGACCAACCCTTGGCACCGCTGGGGCATGTAGTTGTAGCAGGCGCATTGGCTCTCCCGCGACACAGGGCTGCCACGTCGCCCTGTCTCGATGATCGTCCAATATGGCGACTGTCAGAGCAGCACAGTCAAGAGATTGGACTCTTCGAACCCATATAGAGACGCCAGTGCCAGTCTACAGCTGACAGTGCGACCGTATTGGCGGCAAAGACAATCAAGATAAAAAATCTCGTCTGGCCTTTCAGGCAACAGCCACCCATTGACTCGACCACATTCTCGTCATTGGCACTATTGCCACGAGGTGGAAGGTGCCCAGTTGGCGGAACTCTGAGCCTGGCCCCTTGCCTCCAGCCGGCGCCCAGACCAAAATACTGACAGTGGTCGCTAGACCTGAGGTAAGGCAAGGTACCTAGGGAGGCGCGCGTTTTCCTTCGTAAACAGTGCCTACCAAGCATGATCAGGTCATTCACGTCAGGGATCCAGGACGAGCTGTATACCCTTCATTCACTCCCTACGTCCGCTCAAGCATCTGCATCAATGATGGCGTCTCGAAGCCGCACCGCGTTCAATCGCCCAGCCTTGCCGATCCGAATAGCGAGAGGGGACAAATAGCCAGGCAGGCCACACGTGTCTCAGCCTCATTCCGATGTCAAATGATCGAGTCTGCCAGCATGCCTCGTCTTTTGCCACGACAACCAGCTCACTCCGAAAGCCAGGAAAAACTCCTCTAGGTTCTATAGATCCAGGACACACACACACATCTGAGCTCGCTTACGCATTTTCTGGCCTCGCTCGTACATAGCCTGCCTTCAGCCGCCAAGCTCACACATGCCCAGACGTACGATAGTAGCACGCCTATTTGCTTGTTTGCCCCGTCCACCCTGTCGAACACGTCAAGCTTTTCTTCCGTCTCCAGCACAGCACGGCTTGGCTTTCCCTTGGCCAGTACCCAGGCGATCCACCATGACGGATACCAACAGGTGCTATGGCA